AACTGAATCAGTTAGTTTTCTATCTGCTTGCACCGGTTCTTCATTGCTAGAAGATTTTACATTGTCCAAGACTGGGGGATTCAAATTGGCTTCACTGGAAGCTTTGTTTGATTTTTGTAAATCCAATTCCAAATCATCTGATTCTGCTATTTTGCTGGCTTCCATTTTTTCCTTACATTGACTAGCAGAAGTGCTCTGTTCTAAAGCAAGTTTTTCAGGAGCCATACTACCTTCTTCAAAGGAATCTTTCTGGAAGGAATCAAAGCATTGGTTTTCCTTGGGAGAAATTTCAAGATCTTCTTTACCATCTTTGGGAATTTTCTGCTCTTTTTCCTTTTGGTTGCTCTCTTCTTTCTGACGCTTCTTACTTGGTTTCCTGTTGTTATGGTCATCAGAGTCATCACAAGTTGAGGAGTCCCCTGTTGTGGGACTTTTCCCAAATAGAGAACCATTATCAGTACGATCATCTGTACTTTTAGATTTCCTTAAATTCTCAAGATTTTCCATTTGTGCTGCCTTTGGAGAACTTTCTTCTGGTAAATTTTCATCTTGCTTTTCCCATTTTACTTCCTCAATATTTTCTTCCAACACAGACTTTGTACAGCCAAAGACAGAAGATGTCGAGACCATCTCAACATCATTTTTAGAATCAACACTTTTCTGATCCACACTGTCTTCAAGTTTGGCATCTGTTTTTGATTTTGATGTATATTCCTCAGTAAAGGCTCCAACTTCTGCAATGCTCTCCTTATCAATACTTTCCTGTTCAGTTTTATATTTATCATCTCTCTCATTAAATCTACCATACATTCTATCGTCCATGTGCTTTTCATTTTCAGACTCACATTCCAAGTCTGCATCTTTAAAGAAAGAACTTGCCTCATCTATTTCTACAGAATCACTGGATCTGTACAAGTCTTGCAGCACAGTGAATTGAGAATAATGCAAATGGAGCAGCCATTTACACATAATTTTCTCTACACGGTCAGGATGGAGGAGAATCTCTACATTACTCAAGTCTTCCTTTGCCTTGTCCGTGGCTTCCATCAAACTTAACATTTGAGGATTGCCATCATTCATTGCGGTCACATTCTCTACTGCGTCTGCATAGATTTCTTCATCCATATCTTCAAAGCATTCAACCACTTCGCTAACTTCTTCAACTTCACTGGCCTCAGGGGCTTCAGGTTCAATAATCTCCTAAAAGAAGAGGGGGAAAAAAAAAAGCATGTTTTAGATGTTAAAAATTGTTTATATTGAGTTAAACATTAAGAAAAATATATTTTTATGGAGTAAAAATGAAGACAGATTTTATAAGCAAAAAAGAAAAAGCAAAAAGAAAAAAGCAAAAAAAAAAAAAAAAAAAAAGCAAAAAAAAAAAAAAAAAAAAAAAAAAAAAAAAAAAAAAAAAAAAAAAAAAGAAAAAAAAAGGAAAAGGCAAAAAAAAAAAAAAAAAAAAAAAAAAAAAAAAAAAAAAAAAAAAAAAGAAAAAAAAAAAAAAAAAAAAAAAAAAAAAAAGAAAAAAAAAAAAAGCAAAAAAAAAAAAAAAAAAAAAGGAAAAGCAAAAAAGAAAAAGAAAAAAGGAAAAGCAAAAAAGAAAAAGAAAAAAGGAAAAGCAAAAAAGAAAAAGAAAAAAGGAAAAGCAAAAAAGAAAAAGAAAAAAGGAAAAGCAAAAAAGAAAAAGAAAAAAGGAAAAGCAAAAAAGAAAAAAAAAAAAAGGAAAGCAAAAAAAAGAAAAAAAAAAAAGGAAAAGCAAAAAAAGAAAAGAAAAAGGAAAAGCAAAAAAGAAAAAAAAAAAGGAAAAGCAAAAAAAAAAAAAAAGGAAAAAAAGAAAAAGAAAAAGGAAAAGCAAAAAAAAGAAAAAGAAAAAAGAAAAAAAAAAAAAAAAAGAAAAAGGAAAAGCAAAAAGAAAAAAAGAAAAAGGAAAAGCAAAAAAAAAAAGAAAAAGGAAAAGGAAAAAAAAAAAAGAAAAGGAAAAAAAAAGAAAAAGAAAAAGAAAAAAGCAAAAAGAAAAGCAAAAAAAAGAAAAGCAAAAAAAAAAAGAAAAAGGAAAAGCAAAAAAGAAAAGAAAAAGAAAAAAGAAAAAAAAAAAAAAAAAAAAAGAAAAGCAAAAAGAAAAAAGAAAAAAAGGAAAAGAAAAAAGAAAAGCAAAAAAGAAAAAAAAAGGAAAAGCAAAAAAGAAAAAGAAAAAAAAAAGAAAAAAAGAAAAAGAAAAAAGGAAAAGAAAAAAAGAAAAAAAGAGGAAAAGACAAAGAAGCCAAAAACACAAAACAAACAAATCAAAAACACACATAAAAAAACAAACAAGAAAACAAAAAAGAAACCTCCCCTACCCCCAATAAAAAAAAACTGAAATCACAAATCATATATGTTTCATATAGAATTAAATGAAAAATACAGGTTTTAAAACTTACCTTCCCATCTACAATGTCTGGAAGTTGCCCTTTTAAGCGATTGACAAGTTGATCTCCACGGGACAAGATGTTCGATTTGGAGAAGCTTTTAATAAAAGATTTTGTTTTACTCGACAAGCTGAAATGTGGAAGAAAATAAACATGACATGTATTCTACAAATAAATAAAATAAGTAAAGGCAGAAAAAAGTCAACCTCGATAATTGAAATTAAATTCTCTAAATGATAAATGCTTATATTGTCATAACAAGTGCCAAATTAGTGAATCTCATGTCCAATCAACTTGCTTGAAGAAAGAAAAGTTCCAAATTATGGGCCAGACTGCTTCCTGCCATCTGAGTGAAGATTATCTGCAAAAATTAGTTTTTTACATTTTCATTTTTAACTAAAGCTCATCCAATACAAAGCTGAAAGGCAACCCAATTTTTAGATTTCTAAAATGTCATTCTTCCCCATGATTAAAATACTGCATGACCAGTTTGAACAATGCTAGCATGGTCAAACCTTCGGTCATGAATACTTGTGACTTGCTACTAGCACAACCATCAATGACTTAAAAACAACTTCATCTACCATATAAAGGGGCATTGTAGTCAACACTCAGAGGCAATAGACTGTTTCCTGCTCAATGCAATTGTCAGGTCCCACAGGTTGTGTTTTTTCTCAATATTTATATATACAGGTCAGTGATGCATTGTGGGTATTTTTGCATTATGGGTAGCCTATTCTAACAGTTATTTTGGTGAGAGTGGCTTCTTAATTTGTTTATTGCTTTATTTATTTATTTGGACTAATTTATTTTACATGTTTTTGTTTGTTTATTTTCGCTATTTTATTTATTCTTTTCAGTTTTTGATTTTTAAGTAATGTAGTAAAAATTTGTTTATCTGATGATTTTACCATAGCTTCTTATATTACATTGTTACATAAGCAATTGCTGTTTAAGGGACATTCATTCTTTATTCTGCAGGTACATGCGGGTTTAAATTGTTAGGGTGGTTTGTTGATAGTTTTCCTGTTGCACTTTTTTATTATTTTTGTCATATTCTCGGTGCAACTGTAGCTGATTTTTACTGTGTCTTTGTTGAATATTTTGTGGAAAGTGTTTGATTTGGGGAAGTGTTTATGTATGAGTTTGATGAATATTTTTCCAATGTTTTTATGTTTTTGTTATACGGTGGGTTGAACCATATGATGTTTCCCTTTCTGCTGGCTTTTTTGTGCTCTGTGTTGTGTATGTGTGCTATGCTGGGAATCCACTATCTTTTAGGGCTGTTTCATAGTCTTTCTTAGCTTTGTTGAATGGTTTCATTGGAAGAATTGTTGATTGATTTTGGTATCTACTCAATTATAGATGCTGGGTTATTGGAAGATGTGTGTATATATACATCATATTTAGCTCCTGATAAACAGTAGAGCCCTTTTCACTACATTCATAACACATTATGGACATAGAAAAGTTTAGCCTCAACTACTCCCTAAAAAAAAAAAAAAAAAAAAAAAAAAAGATACCCACTACATCCCCATACAAGCTAAAATTGAAAAAATAGAGAGCTTCATAAAAAGAATAAGATGGAAAGCCCATTACTTATTAAACCAGGAACTTAACAGTAATACTACACTCAAGGAAAAATACAGCTTTAAAACCCCAAAATATCCCCTGCAACACAAAGAACTAGACAACTTTGAGAAAGACAATAATTAACTTAGTAAAATAAAATACCATAAAGAACAAGATGTTTCCCCCAAAAAACTAAAAGGAGATATAAGATCTATATTTCTGAGATGAGGTATTATGTACACTATTTACATTATTCGGACTATTGTCCTCATCTTTGTTATCCCAACGTTTCGGCTGTTGTACACTCTGACCTTCTTCATATGGTTGGAATGCCAAACTGAATCTAACCAATGCCTTTATCCACTGTGCCATGTGTCCTTAAGGTGTTGGTTAGATCCAGTGACAGGACCCAAAGAGTTGTGAGTTCAATACCTGGTTAAGGCAGTTGAGAACTTGGAGTGCTGAATTAACAGGAGATAACTGATAACGGACATCCATTAGACATGGAACTAGGGCAGTCTACCCCAGCGAGTGAAATAAAAGGTTCAGCTTAACATTCCAACCACCTGAAGAAGGCTGGAGTGCACAACAGCCGAAATGTTATGATAAATATCGCAACAAAGATGAAGACAATAGTCCAAATAATGGAAATAGTGAGATATAAATAAAATAAACAATATATATATATATATATATATATATATATATATATATATATATATATGCTCATAAGTATCAATTCCATATATAAGAGAGAGTTGAATGTCTCTTAAAATACAATATGAATATGCTGCCTGGAGAATGGATCCACATTCCAATGCAATTTTTTTTTTTTTACAAGCCCACAAAATGAAATTGTTTGGTTTTTGCTAAATTTTACAGTATGCATCTGTTATATTTACTGATTTCTTGTGTGTCTTTTAGTGAGGAACCTCTTTGTTGTCTCAATGAAGAGCAATCTCACTGTCATTTTTTTCAACCATTTTATACCTTGCATGTAACTCTCAGATTCCTATTTCTATCAAATCAAAGCAACACAAAGATTATTTGAAGAGCTTCAAATATGGGCTTCTCTGCTCTTTGATGATGACAATTTTTCTCAACGAACGAACAACCTGCAGAAGCATTAAGAACATCAACAATTTTCATTACTTTTTTGGATGATCCTTCAACACTAGAAATCAACATAACAGTTGGCATCTATTTTTTAAATTATGTCTAGAAATCACACTAGTAATAACTGCAGTGACATTAGATATCATTTTTACCTGTCTTTAATTGAGATCAAATTGAGTTTGGTTGACGATAATGGAACTTCTGAGTCTGTTCCTTGGCCTTCTCTTGCACTTGATGCAGCAGAACTGTCTTGGACACTTGATGATACCACTTTTGAAGAGCCAGGAGGTCGTTCAAAATTGGAATCTGAAGATACTGCAGAACCTTTGGTGCTATGGTCAGCTGAGTCTGTGCTCTCATTACGGGCAAGTTTTGATCTTCTCTGCTTCATAGGAGAACCATTACACTTGTTTGAGCTAGAGTCAGTGTCTTGGCTCAAAGTCTGATCTGGACTACCATATCTTTGTTGATCAGACTCACAGTTTGAACTCTCAAGGTTATAACTCTCCTCAGAAGCAGGTGAAGTATCTGTACTTTGTGGAGCTGTAGATTTTAAATCACCTGGGAAAGAAACAAAGGGATAGGCACATAAGAACACTTGTTGAAATAAAGGAATAGAATCATATCAAGATTGTAATATAAAGTATTCCTTTCATTCAGTCTCCTTTCTTGTCTGGAAAAAAAAAACTGAAAATAAATGCTCCCTGTAAAATGACAAGTAAACAGAATCTATATTATAAAAGAAGAGTTGTCCATCATATACTGACCACATGTGACTTTATATGCACTTATATAATGTACAAGCAATTATGTATGTTTCTTTTGTGCGTGAGTCACTTATATCTGCTTGTGTCATTTAATGTACACACAACAATGCACACAATTTGATTGAGTTTGAAAAAAGATATTAGAATAATGTATTTCCATCCCACTTAATCCTGAGCTGAGCAATAAAATTATAAAGTCAGAGACAAGAAAAAAAAAGCATTCCTTTTTTAAACTATAAAAAAATATAAAGTCAGATACTTATGAGATTTTATTGAACATTTTTTTTTAATCATTTCACCACTCCTAGCAAGGCAATAAAGACACAAAAATACAGGAGGTTAGTGAGTGAGGGGGAAAAAAGAATGTGAAAAAGAAAACATTATGATGGAGAGAGAACACTAAAAGAACAGGAATCAAAAAGACAGAAGACTGCATTTAAATTTTTGAACATCCAAGTTGACTGGGAAGCAAGAAGCCAGAAGAGAATCCTACAAATGAGAAGTACATCAAGTAATTTCAACTGTAAAATGATGAGACCTTACTGCCAATCAAGTATTGCTCTTAAATTCATAAAAAGTACCAAAAAAAGAAAGTTCATCAGAATAATTATTGTGAAATTTTTCTAGAGAAGGTGCAGGGAATGTTTTTTTTCTTGTTTGAAATTATTTGTTAATTGGATTATTTTTTAAAACTTAAAAAAAAAAAACTTGTAAATATTTTTAGGTTTGTCATCAAATTAAAATATACACGCACACAGAATTTGAATGAAATTTAAATGAACATCTGATTCTATTGAGTACACCTGTAAAATGTTATAATTCCATATATTGGCATGGAACTTAGGAAGAGATGTAACTCTCTTACAAGGTTTTATTTACATTTGTACATTTCAGGAAGCTGTAAGTGTATTATATTTATCATTCATATTTTTCATAAGTTTGTGTCTTTTGGTGATAAACTTCTTTGCTTGTTGATTATCTCAATGAAAAACAAAAAATCCATTGTCATTTTTCAACAGTACCGCAACTACAGACACTGAAGGTTGCTTTGAACTCTTCACATTTCATATCCCATTTTTCCTTTTGTAAAATGTTCTATCAATATATTTGTTAATATTTCTTCGTTCAAATTCTATGTCTTATTTTTCCTTTGGACTTACAGGAGTCCACCAAATTGTTTGTGGGTCAAATGTATCAGAAGTATATAAGATCTCATCAAAGGTGTTGAAATGCACAACAATTTCAAGAATAATTTTTTCTACGCTTTAATAACTCCTTTTTACCTATAAAGAAACCACTTGCAAAAGCATAAAAAAAAGATTTTTCATTTTAGTTACTTGTCTGAATTATGTTTCAACACCAAAAGACACACGAGGAATAGACAAGTCCATTTCACTATATGACAAATTGTAAATGAAATTGTATATATGATGAATGTAGTGAATAGTTTTGTTTTGATTGCCTTTCAACAGGACTTAATTTGTTTGACAATAGGCAAGTATTTTTCCTGTCTCTTCTAGCTGAGAGACGAAAAAATAGTTTAATAACTATTTCATTTATTCTATTGTTTATTGGTATGGTTGGCAAAACATCAGCTAATTGCAAATCAATTCAAACTTTTATAAAACAGTAAATAATAGTAATTTCCCTATAGTTTCACACATTTTAATAATTTAGTAAATGTTTATAAATTTATAAATAAAAAATTGTTTTCATATTTATTTCTTTATAAACTGGTAAATTATAAATATTGCACTACATTAGTTTTAATACAATTGTTTTAGTTTTAGAACATTGTAAATATAAAATTATTCTTGTAAATAAACAACCAAATAAATAGTGTTTGATATTCTTGTTGGAAATTCTCAAGAAAAAAAAAAAAAAAAACTTATAAATTGAGTTTCATCATATTTAGATTTTATTACCCTTTAAAACAATAAACATTTCCAAGGAGCACAGTGGATAAAGACATTAGTTAGATCCAGTGACAGGATCCAAAGAGAGTGAGTTCAATACACGGTTAAGGCACTGGAGAACTTTGAGAGGCAAATTAACAGGAGATAACTGATAACTGACATCCATTAAATATGGCACGTGGAACTAGAACAATCTACCCTAGTGAGTGAAATAATAGGTTCAGTTTGGCATTCCATCCACCTGAAGAAGACCGGAATGTACAATGGCTGAAATGTTGTAATAAATATGGTGATAAAGATGAGGACAATAGACCAAATAATGTAAATAGTGTACATAATACCTCATCTCAGAAATATAGACAGATACTGAAAAAAAACTTCCTTTTGATACACCACATTTTTGCAGACACAAAGTTTAAAAATTACCATCTTGTCTTCATTTCTTGTTGCTTCTCCTATTTTATCATAACCCAGATAGGCTAGAAGAACATATTCAGAGAAAGGAAAAAAAAGACATTCATGGTTTATGTGGGTGGGTAGAGTCACAGGACAGACATACCAGAAGAGTCTTGTGGTTCTGATGAATCGCCAGAAGCTTCCATAACTGAAACACTTGCCATTCTCCTCTGGGGTCTGTCAGACTTATCCTCCTCAGCAGAATTGTCGACAGTGGAGGCCCTCTTGCGTGGCTTCCGCTCTTTGGTTCGACTCTCTTTTGTCACAGAATTGTCTGGAGATCCCAGTTTCACAATTGTGGGTTTTTTCTTCTTGAACACTTTTTTGGTGGGAGAAGTTTGTTCTTTTAATGGAACAGCATCTAGAAAAATAAAAAATGAAAAAAAATAAATGAGTGGATGAACAGGATAATTGTTTAAAAATATGAGTGGTAATGGAGAGTTATAGAAAAAAATTAATCTTGTGAGAAGGTATGGTGGAGTAATGGATAAGCGGCTTGGATTGAGGAATTGGAGAGCCGAGTTTGAATTCCAATCAAATCCATTACATTCACTTATGTGCTGATACCCTTGGGAAAGGTATGAATCCTTCTACCCCCAGCTATGGGTAAATAGCAGGACAGAACAAGTTCTGTATCCTTGGATGTCAACTGGTCTACAGCAGAAAGAAATAGCAGCCTACTATGGGAAAAAATCTGCCTCATCAGTCATGTATCAAATGATACATGATCACCTAAGCATGTATCATGCATGGCACATACCTGACTGAGGACAAAAAGGGGCAACATGTACAATTCATGATAATTGCCAAAACAAGTAATAAATTTAAAATTTTACAAAACTGCATTCATCACTTTGTATGCAATAAAGGGATTTACATTTCTGTGTTTTATTGTTTTTAGCTTCCCACATTATCATAGCTAATATCTTGTTAAAATTTACCTTAAATAGCCTTTCCATTTTAATAATGTAATTTCAACTTTATTCACATTTGTTTAATGGCATATCAACTCCTTATCAGTCATTTAATGTCAAAATTTAATTTTCTTGGGAGCATTAGTAATTTCTTTTGCAAAAATGTTAAGCAATGTCTAGTCTGGTCAGTACCTAGATGGGTGATGGTTTGATGTCAATATAAAACTGCTTAATAATGAGGATTTTGAGTGTTTGTTTAGCAGCATATCAACTACTTATGGGTCATTTAATGCTGAAATTTAATTTTCTTGGGCGCATTAGTAATTTCTTTTACAAAAATGTACTGCTTGTAATTTTTTTACTATGAAAATGTATTGCTAGTATTTTTAATATAAAAATGTATTTTTTGTACTTTCATAGTACTTTGACCCCAGTTTCAGGGTTAACTATTTGCCCATAGCTGGGACTAACAGGTGCTACCACCCCGGGTCAGGGTGGACCTGGGAACAACAGCAATTAAGAACTAGTTCCACGCTCCTCAAAATCTCCTGATCAGAGGCCTTGCTGGTGGATGTAGTTTATCATCATATCCAGGATGCGTTCAGACACATGCTACTGGCTTTAGTCTTAATAAAATTGCCCGGTGGAAAATGTTATCAAAAAAGTGCTGCTGAGTTAGGGTAGAGCTGGACTGATAGTTTCAGATTTTATTACTTATTGTTGAATCAGTTTTTATTAATGTGATTATGAATAATGAATAAATAATTAGACAACAATAAATGTATGCAACTCATGAAAGAAAGCTATATCCTGTGATATGAAGATATTGTCTGGTCATAATTAAAACTCAAGGGAAGTAACTCAAATAACAAACATGCCATGCCCACAAAGAATGCAATTCATTTTCATATTACTGGCAAAAACCAATACAATGTATGAAAATCATTATATTTTATACTACAAAATTAATGAAAAATCATTAAGAATATCATTACATAAAGTTAATATTGCATAATCCAATAAATTTAATCTCATATTTTTAGATATTTTAAATGAGGTATAAAAAAAAATGTTAAACCTAAACTTGCTGATAAATAACATTTTTAAGAATCAATATTTTTAAGGTAAATCTCTAATCATAAAAAAGTTTATTTATGATAAAATAAGCCAGCATAACAGTAATTACTTCATTTCTAAACAATAGAATAAATGAGTTACTTTTATGTTTATTTTGTTTCAGGTCATATTTTTGTACCAGAATCCATATCTCCAATATGGTTTAATGGATTTAAGTTGTATAGTTAATTCAAAGTTTTATATATATATATATATATATATATATATATATATATATAACATTTCTTACATCCTTGTTAATGTGATGGATCTGAAGTTTTGCCAAATTATACATTAATTGTAATAAAGGAAAGAAAAAATATGCCATGAAGAGGAAGATTAACTTTCCAAACCAAATTAATTACACTCTTAATCTTTTTTTCTTTGAATTCCTTAAGCAGACTACAGTAATGAACAATCACAAATGAAAACTAAAAATCATTACTGTCAGGGGAACAAGATTTCAAATAGGCCTCCAGTTCTGACCTTTAGTTGCACTATGACTCAGCCTAAAGTAAAGAATGCCATGGTTGAATTCTATAGCCATGTGCCCAGGATGCCCCCCACCAAAAAAAAAAAAAAAAAAAAACTTAACTGCAAGTTTTTATGGAAAAGCATGCAAATGTGGAACCAACCATGTAATGATAAATGTAGTGCAAATAATAAACAATAAAACAAAAATCATAATTCTGCTAGTCCCAACCATGTTATGTGTTGCTATTACCACAGATAAATAATAGACCATTCCATTTTGATTTCAAGGAAAGATGATAGAAAAAGATATGTTAAGTACTGTTTGGTTTTAGTGAGAAAAAGAAAGCATACATAATAAGAAAGAGAAGATAGCAGTCACAATAGCATTGTCATGCATTTAACTTCTGCATCAGTGAAATAGAAATCTTGTCATTTGTCCCCTGCCTTATTTCTTTATATATTAGCCTGCATTCATACTTATTAGTATGCAATATTTTATTAAAGCTGTTAAGCTCAAATGTTTAATGAAGCAATAGAGAAATTTCCATGTGTAAGCTGCTACTTTTCTGGTTGAAAAGTTGCCAAGATCAAGCAAACAAAAAACAGAAACACTTCTTGCGATGAGGAAAATATAATGATTTCCTCTTCAAATGATGATCTTGAAAAGGCAAGAAAAGAGCTCCAAAGTTGGGTTGAAAATAAAGCTTACATGCAAATTCCTGACCAAGGTCAACCCAAGATATCCACAAGATGGATTTATACTTATAAAAGTTCTAATGGTAAACAGATTTGTAAAGCTAGACATGTAGTTTGGTTTCTAGGACAAAGATACTTGCAATATAAGAAATGATTATCTCACTTTCTCTAAAGAAGGTCTACACATAACATTGGGAATAATGACATCTAACCAGTGTAAATCCATGGATATAACTGCATTTCTACAGACTGATTGGTTTATTTGGATCCTCTGAAAGAGGCCAATGTACTACCAGCTTATACAGGGTGTCTATAAAGTTTGTGTGCACTTTAAAAATTTATAACTTTATTTGTATTTGCGATAGAAATTTGTAAAAAGGATTAGAAAGAAGTAAATCTATACTTTTTAAGGTTTTATTGAAATTTTATTTAAGTTTCCATATGTCCTCCATCATTAGCAATACAAAGGGTAATACAATTTTGCAGTTCACGGAAAACATTTGTCAACTGATTTACAGTAATGTCTGAAATCACAGTTATTTTAGCTATACTTAAAACTAGGTACATTAAACTTTATAACATTTTTTACAGATTATTTCTATCAAAAATACAAATAAAGTTAAAAATTTTTTTTAATGCACACGAACTTTATGGACAGCCTGTATTTGGAAGCTCTCTAAATGTCTATATAGTCTGACTGATGCTTCAAGATCCTGGTATCTGACACTCAAGGATGAATTAATTAAATTAGGAGCGAGTTTCAAAATATGACCAGGCGATATTTACATGGCATTTTGGAAACAAACTTTAGGGTATAATTGCTGCCCATGTTGATGATTTCTGCTTTAAATGAACAGAAATCTTTCAGACCAGAGTTATAAACAAAATTTGTCATCTATTTCAAGTAAATTCTGAAGAAGTTGCCAAATTCCAATATATAGGGAAAAAAAAAAGCAAAATGGAGATAATATCAAACTGAATCAAAAAATGGAGATAATGTCAAAATGGATCTGTACAGATCCATTTTGACATTATCTCCATTTTTTGATTTTCCATTTTTTTTCCCCTATATATTGGAATTAAATATAAATATATTAAATTAAAAGTTAAAATATATCCCATTAGAAGTAGGCAGAAATTTGAAAGACACTATATCCACAACAGAAGTAACCGAGACAGCAGCTGATTTCGTCAGCTTAATTGGCTAGCCACCCAGACCAGGACTGAGGTTAATACATTAAATTCTGTATTAAAATAAAAAAAAAATGTACAATGTGTAAAAGAAGCAAGTAGAGTAGTCAAGAAAGCAAAAAAGGAAAAATCCCAGATAGACATTTCAGATTTAGGAAACCTAGAATATTTAAGAATTATTTCTGATAGTGATACCTCTTTTGCTAATTTGACTTATGGTAGATCACAAGGAAGGTATATACTCTTTTTGGTAGGAAGTACCAATAGATATATGCCCATTGCTTAGCAATAAAAATGCATTAGAAGAGTCATCAAGAGTACTCTCGCAACTGAAACATTAGCCATGGATGACACAGCAGACACATGTCTTTTTTTATAGGAAAGTTTTATAGAACTGTTGCAACCAGAAGATAATAATGAAAATATACAAATTATATGTAAAACTAACAATTCTTGTCTCTATGATGTGGTACGTTCATCAATACAAATTTTAGATAAGAGACTTCGCATAAAAATGGCTATTTAGAGACAAATGACAGATAGAAAAGAAATTGCCGAATATCTTGGAATGCTGAGAGAATGATGGAGTGCATAACCTCTAAAAACTTTGGCTCTTGTGACTACTGGCATCTCTGTAATAGGGTATTAAATAAGTGCAAGGTCTATATTTCTTCCTCTTCAATTGATTTATGGAGTTATCATCCTCTGCTGATAAAGTCAAATTGCTTTTGCTGTAAATTCGCCTCAAACTCTATTCTTGACTCATCTGGAGTATCCCTGCCTAACTTTGCACTTAGAATTCTTTGTTGAGTGATGTGCATATAACCCCTTTCATGGTTTCTGATATCATCTCTAACCATTGGGTCCACAAAGCATGTGAACCCAATGGCATCCTTGTAATAGTCATTAAGAAGTGTGCTCCCAAACTAGCTTTGGTTCTCTCTTAATTGTATAATAAATGCCTCGTTCCCACCTGCTTTCCTGCTTGCTGAAGTCATCATCTGTTGTTCCAGCCATCATCTGACCCATCCAACTATCACCCTATTAGCCTTCTACCCCTTTTTGGGAACTCCTGGAGGCTCTAATCAAGGCATCATCATCTTTCATTACAGGGCCTTTTCCCAGACAAGCAATACGGCTTTCATTTCTTCAGGTCAACTGCTGAAATACTAACAATAATTGCAGAAAGAGTCTATTGTGCTCTAGATAAAAATGGTGAAGCCCAGGCTGTAGTACTGGACATCTCAAAAGCCTTTGATAGGGTCTATCATTCAGGTCTTCTCCACAATCTGAAAAGTTACAGTATATATGGGCATGTTTTTGAACTGATCCAGTCATTCCTATCAAATCATGAAATAAAAGTTGTCCTGAACAACCACTTGTCTACATCCTTTCACACTAATGTGGATGTCCCCCAGGGCTCCATTCTTCATTAACAACTTTCCTGATGACATCAGCTTTCAAGTTGGCATCTACCTTGATGACACTACCATTTATTAGTGCCTTGATAGTAAGGCTGATCATTCAGACAAGGTCAAAATGGGAGCTGATGTACAAAACGACCTCAAGACTATCATTAATTGGGCAAAAGATGACTTGTTAATTTTAACACCTCCAAAGCAAAACTTCTTTCTATTAATCATCTGAGAGACCACTCTCTGCCTTTCATCATCATGCCTTCCAAAAAAGTGATTCATTGTGCCTTCTCAGGTGACATGGGGTAGAAAGACTACATTGAATCCATAGCTAGATCAGCTACTAAGAAAATCAGTTCACTGTCAGGCAAGACAATTTTTCTCTCCAGAATCTATCTTGCATATCTATAAATCTAGCATTCTTCCATGCTTAGAATATTGCTGCCATATATGGTCTGGTGCCCCTGCTATTTACCTGGAGCTCCTTGATAAGATCCAAATGAGAATCAGCAATATTATTGGTCCTGATCTGGCAGTTCAGCTTCAGTCACTTGCCTACCACCATATACTTTCATGGTAATTGTTCAGATGATCTCTTCACTATGGTACCTAGACTATATGAATTTAAGCACAATACTAGGCTGGTGGCAAGATCTCATCAATTTACAATTGAGCAAGCGAGAGATAGCCACAACTTCTATGATGACAGTTTCTTATCTCACACATCTCACTTGTGGAACTCCCTCCCACCTCCATGCCATCCAGCCAACTTTAATTTGCAAAAATTTAAATGCAATGTCAATTGCTATCTACAGTCCTCTTGATTGGTCTTTTCTCTTTCTCTTCATTACTAGTGTTTCTGTTCCTAAATCCATCACACCCTGATGTACGAACTGCTGGTTCAAAGAAAAGAGTACCATCATTTAAGATTCTTGGGTTCATATCAGAGGCTGAGGTATCCTCTGTTTAATGAATTTACATTCTCATATATATATATATATATATATATATACACACACACACACACACACACACACACACACACACACAAAAAAAAACAAAAAACGGAAAAAAAAAACGGATGAATTGTTAATCTTCATGAGTTGCTCCCCTTGGAAACTTTTCAACCAGAAAAGGGGCAGCTTACCCGAAAGGGGCCGAGCAGCCATTTTAGATAGGTGAAGAACAAAGGAATCCAAATAAAATATTCTCCTTCCATTACATGTCAGAGTTCCTTTAATTTTAATTAATTTACACATGAAGTAGGCTTATATATCAGTATATACAGTACATTCTTGAAAATGCAATATCATTTCTCAAAAAAAATCCTTTGACAATGGAAGACTAACTTCTAAAGACCCTATTGTCTGGCAAGTTTTCTTCCAGTCAGTTGATAACAAAGACTGCTGAATGGCCCTCTTGATGCCACAAAATTTCCCAGAAAAATCACCCTCACTGACCTAGGGCAGAAGAAAGGAGGCAGTTAGTACTCCTTTAGCCACTGCAGAATAATCACCAGCAAACCTGCAACAGACAGAGCCTCTTTCATGAAGAAAAGTCATGATATATTTTTGTAATGTTGCCAATAGAAAGGATATAGAATTATCTACCTAGCAAAACCAGGTGGCAGTGTTTTTGTAATGACAGTGAGAGAGACTGTTCAAATAATACAATAAAAAGAAAAGATCAAAACATATATGAGAAAAATATGTGTATGTTTGCTACAGAAATGGCAGAAGTATGTTCAATATAAGAGAAAGGGCATTCGTAGATATACAGGGTAGTCTGAAAGTCTTGTCATCCCAACATGATATAATTTTCTATTTCAGCTGGCTGACACGAGCTCTTTCAGTTTGGAAGAGAGGTTGCTTGCAAATAGGGATCAACTCTCTATGGTGACTGTCAGTTTCACACCATAAGTGATATTCAGACCAACTAAAGAAACCTTGAGGCATGAGGATTGCTTAAGGCATGAGACTTATAGTCACCATGCAGTGATCATCCCTATGTCCATACTGTTTATAATGTGTATAAAGTTTCAAAATTATAATCACGTAAGAAGCTTGTTTAAGTTTAATCATTTTCTTCCATTTAAAAACTTTAATCTGAATTACTTATAATCACTTTATGGTATTTTCTTCATTAGGATGTGTGTGTAGTGGTTATCAGCACAAAAGAGGATGGGTATGTCCAGTTTAAATCCTAACTGAGGCCATTATGTTTGCTTTCACAAAAATACCCTTAGAAAGGTATGTCCATCTCTTTCTGCTCCTCCCCCACCATGTAAGAAATAATAACAGAATAGACTGGTCTCCCTTCTCACTTTGGTTGGCACCAAACCAAGGAAAAGAACAACACTGAATTCAAAATTAGTTTGGTGTGGGGCTAGCAGCTCCACCCTTTAATAACCAACTTAGTATGGAAACCATAGCAGTAAAACATTTTATAATGAAGCTGTGACCCTATACTACTACAATTAATACTTTCTTCATTTATTATAGTAAACTCATTATTTAATAGCTTATGTAAATTAGGTAATTCTTATCAATGAATTTTATCTATAATTGTGACCCGATGGCTGTGATCAAGACCACCACAAAGAGAGGATGGTAAAGCATTTTATGGCATTCTTAAATGTTTTATGACCAGTAGTAAAGTGTATGAAATAGGATCTTTGAGGAGGCCACCTACTTGAACAAGAGGGAATAAAATAACAGATAAGTAAAAAAAATTAAAAAAATCTTTTAGGAACAAGTGACACTTGACTGGACATTGGAGATTTCCATTTGCAAGCTTATAAAAAACATTCACAGTAAGAATTGAGAGTAGTTTCAAAATGCCCATTGACAGAGAGTTGCCAGCTGTGCACCATAATGTAGAAATGGGCAGAGAGGTTGTAGGAGCAAGTTCTTGCTGATTAAATGGAAAGTTTGATCAGCTAGTTTAACATGGCAGAAGTAGAAGATTCTGACCTACTAACCCAAATCATGCAAGTGAATCCCTGAATAAATAATCAAATATATTGGAAATAGGGTGCAAGCTTTCCCTTCTCACCATGGAATTTATTACTACTTTTCTTTCTTGTGATGATGATGAAACATTGCCAGTTTTTTGTGCACACCAATGCAAATGAGAATAAAGATGCAACATTGAGCTAATATGTCTAATTGGTGAAAAAACATATTAAAAAAGTTATATGTTTATGAAACTTATGCACCTGAAGATCTTTTTTTTTTTTTTTACTTGACCTTCAACATTCTGTAATATTCATGAGTATATAATCTATTGGGTATAAGTGGCCAGACAATTGCAATAGCATCATCTTTGATTTTCAGTTTGTCATTTTCCTGTTGCCATAGCAGGATATAACCCTGGTGCAAAAAAAATTCAACTACACTGATGATCAGAGTTGCATCCAGTGGCTGTACAAACATTATGAAATCACCTACATGCTGAGTGCTAAAGGTTAAATCCAGTTTGAATACAAACAATCCAAAAATATAAAGTTTAAGAAACTCACCTAAATTAGGAGATCCTTCTTCTGTTTCAGTGATTTGATCTGACGCTTCAAACTGAGTAACATTTGTGTAATTAAGCATGGCATATACAGATGGTGACATGAGGGTGGTGTTGTATGGAGATGGATTTGATGGTCGTGGCCGTGGGATAGCCACAGGTTTAAGTGTTGATCGTCCACTAGAGAAAGTGCAATCTGAAAAATAACTCTGCTGCAAGGAAAATGCAGCTGCAGACCTGTGAAGGACTTCATGATCAAATATTTGATCCAAAGGTTCTTCAGAGTTTTCAGGAGACGTCAGAACAGGGTTGATGTCAGACTCGTCATTCTCAATAAGAATCTGTTGAATGGAACTTTCAAAAAATTCTGATGGTGATTTGTGATTCTCAATGTACGGCTGAACACCATTCTGGTCAGGACTTTTCAAGAAGAGCGAAAGGCGATCAACTTGAAGATTGTTACTATTCTTCTGAGATGCCCCAGGAGAGGGGTCCAAAGATGAAAATACCGGATTTGGTTTATCCAAAGCATCCCAAGGCCTCTCGACTGTACATTGTGGGACTGCTCTATCACCACCATTTTCTGCAGCAAGAGTGGACAGTCTCGAAGTTACAGTCATGTCTTTTGGTACAACTTTAGGAAGTTGATAACTTCCATCTGGTTGACTGAGGGCATCTTGGAAGCTGGGGAGGGGAGACTCAACAGAGGACTGCAAGGAGGGGGGAATTGAGATCACAAAATGATTGAGGATATCCTCGGCAAGTTTTGTATTTTGTCTGGAATGTAACCAGGAAGCACACATCTCGGTTGGCATGAGGGTTAGTTTCTTTAGCTTGATTTCTTGGTAAAAAACATAAAGTTCATTTTCCCAAACAGCAATGTCAATAATATCTGGAAGAAAGAAGAGAAAAATGAAGAATATACAATATACAAACCATCCTTGCAATTTTAAAAATTGCCAAAATGGTTAAATTTATTCATAAACTTTCTGGGAGAATTATTAAATCAGCTGTGATATCACGATTCAGTTTGATTAATCAAAAAGCTGGTTTTTTTAATATATAACCTTTTTTGGCTAAAATCATAAAATACTTGAAGAAAATAATATTATGATACTTAAGTCAACATTTATATCTTTATTCACTTAAACAGCAAAAACAATTTTAGAGTTTTACTTATATTTTCCTTAACATATAAATAATATAATTTTCTATAAATATTTTCATGGGAATTGTTCTAACGTGTTCTCCTTTTTGGTACCTCAACTTTACAAATTTAAGTGCAGTACAAGTAATGAAGGAGGCATGGTGGTGTAATGGATAGCAGCTTGGATTGAGGAATCGAAGAGCCGAGTTCAAATTCCAGTAGAATCCATTACATTCACTTACGTGCTAATACCCTTGGGAAAGGTATGAATCCTCTTCTTCTCCCTCCAGCTATGGGTAAATAGCAGGACAAACTGGGTTCTATAGCCTTGGATGGCAATTGGTTTACCGCAGAAAGAAATGGCAATCTACTGTGAGAAAAAATCTGCCTCGTCAGTCATGTATCAAAAGATACATGATTGCCTAAGCGTGTATCACACATGGCACATAACTAACTGACTGACTAGTAATGGTAATGAACATTTTCTTTGTCACAATTCTGCATGCAAACAGATCTTTTCTTGGCACATTTCTTTTTTTGGATAAATTTTCCCAGAAATCTATCTTTGCAGCATCTTTATGCATGTTTGGGTTTCTTACAAATTCATTCAGTTTGGAAAACGTAATCATCTTTTTAGTGTGCTTTTCCTTTACAAATTTTCAGTTTCATGATGATGCTAAAAATTAATCATCTGCCAGCACCACAGAGAAGAAATTGATCTGGGGACATTTCACAAATTTGAGTGGTTCACATGTTTGTATATTTTTTAGCCATCTATAGCAGAAATACAAAAGTGAAGGGACATGGTTGCCATATTGAACTTTTAATATAAAACCAAGCAATAAAAGCCAAATAAGTATTACATCATTTTTTCACACAACAAAAGCTAGAGATACAGGTAAAATTTTCTATCCTAAGACACAACAAAGGCACATTTTCGATTCTATCATCCTTCCCGTTCACATTTTATTCTCAAACTTATTACTTTCAGCAACAGTTTAGTTAGACAAATGTAGTTTGCACATAGATACACATTGCTAACACACATTGTATATTAAAAATTGATTACCAATACTCTCTGTAAAGCAAGATGACTCTTCGGAAAGACGAAGTGACCCTCTAGAAAGTTGGAGGGACATCTTGGAAAGACAAGAATTTTAATTAAATCATGAAGAATACAAGAGACACAGAATGCCTTCTGGGTGACTGTAGCAGGGAGGGAGAATATATCACCCATCAGACTGACTTTAATGAAAACAACCTGGATATGGACCCGGCTACAATGTGTGATTGCAGCAGAAGATTGCGGTTTATGTATCCATAAGGCATGCTGGGGCAAACAACGTAATTCTCCTATTGGAGAATGTAAATCGAGTGATGGGATTATGAATCTGGACTACACCCACAGCGTTCAGGATTCCATCATTGAGTGACAGCACCCTGAAGAAATCCTAAGTAAACCAAGAATCCAGTGGCCCAAAGGTAACCAGAAGGCTATTTGGACAAATCTTGACAAATAGCTTTCTTTTGTCCTTAATACCAATCTTAAGGGTCCGATAGGGCAACAGATCAGTTCCTTTTGTAAAATAATATACGTTTGCTTTGAGTGGTTTGGACCAATAATAGAAAAGATAAAAAAGAGGAAAAAAATCGGTGACAAATCCAGAAAGGAAAGTTACGATCAAAACAACAAGCAAATAAAATGTGTGCAACATCCTCACCTAATGTGCACAAGTGAAATATTTGCATGGTCATTTATAAAGATTTTTATGAGCACATCAATAATGGAAATATCAAACTTTCATTATGGATAGAAGCTGCAAAGAGGAACAATCACTTAGTTTATCCCAAATTTCATTACGAGACTAAGAGGAACGATCAATTTGCTTATCTTCATACCCTGCTTGGTGGCAAAAGCTGCTGGTGGCGCCATAAACAGAAACCATGATATCACTCCTGGTTGGCGGCTGATGAAGGCAAGGTATCACATGTTGCATGTTTAAAAAAAAAAAAAAAAAAAAATTGTACGGTACGTGTAATGTATCTATTTTTCACCATGAACTCACCCACCACTGACTAGAGATCAAAAAGACTTTTTACTTTTGAAATTGACATGTGAATAAAAATTCTTCAAGTGTTCAAATTTTAAAAATCACTGATAATTTTTTTCTGATATTCTACTAAAATCTATTTTATTAATATAATATAATTTATTATTTTCCTCTTTACAAATTCAATGTGGATTAATTCATCTTTGATGAAGATGTTTACTATGTCTCTGACACCTTTCACCTTTGCTTTTCCTCTTTTCTTGTTGAGTGAGGGTAGAAGCTAGTAGAAGACAATATTCTTTCTTGATACCTAGACAAGAAAATACAGAAGTAACTATGAGGCTATGAACTCGTTATAATCAAGGAAACAAACCACTGTTCGCAATAATTGCCAAATGACTAAAAACATTTTTGTTTAAAAAGGACAATTTCAGGTTTTAAAAAAAAAAAAAAAAAGCTACATTTCTGGGATTTGGCATTTTAGAAAGGGATGCATGGGCAGCCCAATTTAGAAAATTGCATGACTTTTCAAGGGTCTTTTGAGCTATTGTTTTTTTCCAGGATTTTTCATTCCCTGGAAAAGGCCCTGCCAATTTTCCAGGACTTTTAAGGTTTCCAAGATCTATATGAACCTTATATATATATATATATATATATATATATATATATATATATATATTATTTATATATCTCAATACACACAAACACACACATTCATAAAGATGGCTTTTTCTTAATTTCTTTAAGATATTAATCTAAGATTTCACTTGTCAAGCTTGTGGGACTCAAATCAATTGTTTGAAGCATTTCCCCCATCATCAATGAAAAACATAATATTTTACTCACCTTTGAACTCTGCATTCCATAAAACTGCCCGGACATGAAGAGGATCAAGAATATATATAGCACCAGGTGTCCAGGCCAAGAGAAAATTTCTACAAAGTTCAATGTTTGGAGAAAAATAGAAAACCAGTAATAATTACTTGAAAAGTTTTTAAAATGTTAAAAAAATAAAAAAAGATTTATGGACATTACCAAAATATGGTAACAACTGATCATATTTAATTTAATATATTGCCATTAGAAATATTTAATCAGATTAACACTACAAATAACAAAAAAAAAAAAAATCTCTAATTTACTCTAGAAAAAGTGTATTAGACTGAATTTCCCATTTTATGGTAACAGGTTTCAAGGGAGATAATACCAAACTAATTCCATCAATGTATTCCATATACATGGTATCATTTTCATAGTCTTTGCAATACAAAGATGTTCAAAAGACAACTTTCAATGGATTTAACACATTAAGCAACACAAGATCTAAATATGTGACACGAGTGTTTAAGGCAAACAATTACCTTCACAATATTTAAGAATTATGTATCCATTGAAAATATCATGCGAAATAATTAGTAACAGTGCTTCTTTTTATGAAAGAAATACTCAGAGAAAATTGTAGCTTTCAGTAAACTACCCAGAGGTTACAAAATTATGGTGGGTACAAGGGGTAATGGAATTTTTGCGGTTATTTTTTTTAAGGAATTCTTAGCCAGACTTTTCAGAACTATACAGAATGACTTGTTGGCGCAGGCTATGGCTCATCTATCAAGTACTCAGAAGCTACAGACTAAGGCTCATATATAAAGTAAAAAAAAACAACAAACAAACATTATTTTGAACACAAGTTAAAAAGAATGTATTTCAAAAGTCCTATTAATATATATTTGTAAATAATAATGCCTGAGAGGCTTGCAATCTAGAAACAAAAATCTCCAGCACCAAAGTCAGAATTTTTTAAAACAAAAGAATTTCTCTCTGAATTTTCTGGGATAAGGAATTAACATTATTTAGATGCCAACTATTTTTCTCATCTTTGTTATTATCACGAGGTTTCGGCCATTTTGCCCTCTGGCCTTCATCCTGTGCTTGGTAATCTTCATGGAATTTTGAACTGAACCCTTTATTTAATCCCTAAAGGTAGATTGTTTTTGCTCCACTAACCATGACTAAGAATATCTCATATAGTTCTCAATTATTGGTCATCCTGTTTCCACTCACTCCAGGTACACAATGCCCAAGACCAGGGATTAAACTCACAATTACTAGGTCAGCAAATCCACTAGACTATTATCCCATGGGACAATCCTGAGTATGTAAAAATAAGAATAAGAACTAGAAATGTCCTTAGACATGGTCAGTGAAACAAGAACAATCTACTCTCATAGATTAAATAAAGTGTTCAGTTAAAAATTCTTTGAAGGTTATGTGAACTAACAAGCACCTGATGAAGGGCAAAATGGCCGAAGCCCTGTGATAATAATGAGGACAATGGTCCAAATGTAAATAACAAAAGAAATTTTTTTAAAAGTAAAAAATTCAAGGAACTTACTTGATTTGTTTTATGCGGACAAAATTGACAGATTGTAAATTCCATTTTCCATCTTCTTGGAAATCCAGCGCCTCGTCCCTGGAATTGTAAAACACACAAATCAAGATTAGACTGTATATATAAATTTGCTATGCATTATATATTATTCAGTCGAGCTAGCTCAGACATTCATGAGTATCATGTCAACCATGACAGTCCTGCATCAAGGTCAGATGGTCATGAGAG